GGGGGGGGGGGGGGGGGCGTTTGAGGCCATCGCAGCTGCGTCTTATTACAAGCTCAAAGCTCAGCGTAGGCCCCACGATGCAGGGCACCGACGCCAGCTGCAGAGGTCACATGAGCGCGGCACTGCAAGCCTCCGTGGAACAGCAGCCAAACCCGGCGAGCGGGAGTGCCGGGGGAGGCCGGCCCCACGCGCGCGTTCGCTGAAGCCGGCCAAACCTTTGACACGTGCGCCTGCAGAACTAGGCCGATTCTGTGGCCCGAACGACAGGCTGCAGCACTGGGCATCAAAGCGGATGTCCCGACCATCCTCGGGAAGAGGAGCAAACCCATGGCCGCCGCAAGCCAGGAAGGGCGCTGCGAGGTTATTAGCGCTGACCCAAATAGATGCGCCAAGCGGCGGTGCAAAAGCGAGGGTCGAGACTGAGCTGTGCGCCCATCGATGAGTGTTGGGGCTCGCAGGCCTGCACCGCGCGCCGCAGGGCGCAGCTGCCTTGCTAACCGCTTGCATTGTCGTTTCAATTTCTATCGCGCTTGGCTGGTTCGCGGCACAGCTGCTACTCTGCAGTGCTGAGGGCGGAAACAAAACAAAACCAACATGCTCAGCACACAAAAACGATCTCAACGCACCAGAGCTGGCAGGTCTGGCCCCGATAGCACGGCCCTGCAGCGGAAATCACAGCTGCGCCGTCGCAGCAGACGGCCCACGCACAGGCGCCCGCTCACGCGCCTCCCTCCCCACCGCCGGGGCTGCTGCGCCGCTGTGCGGCCCTCTCGAGCGCCCGCATCTCGGGGATCGCCAGCTGCAACACGCTGCCCAGCCCCTCCCTGAAGCATGCGCCCCCGCGCGGCCCAAGCTGGCCAGGGCCGCGCAGAGCATATCCCTCCCGAGTTGCCTGCTCCTCCTCCTCGTCGCTGCTGCCTGCGCCGCCGCAGCCGGCGCCCCCAGAACGCGAGGCTGCCTGCAGCTGCGGTGCTGCCGCGACGTCTGCCGCCCCGGGCGGCCGCCTCGCGCCGCCGGCGCCCTCCGCGCGCGGCTGCTCCCAGGGCGGCAGGTGCGGCGG